TTTTATGTGGAAAAAAAAAGAAACTAATTAACTAGTGGTTTTACGATTTTAGCCGATTTGTTTTGATGAAGAGCAAAGGGAGATTTCTATCCCACAAAACATTGCAAACCGATTCAAAATGGCGGGCTTGTAATATGGACTATGGCTACAACTGTTGCAGGGTTATGAAATGTTATTAGTGGCTTCACCTTAGTGGTTACGCTTCTCTTTTCGCTATTGTCATGCATAAAAACTTTAAGTATCTGCGGAATAATCTGAGGCAAGTAGTTCTTGAATTCTCCACCAAGAGCCACAGCTATGTTCTCCACCAGTAGTACAAGAGTCGTCTGCATGGGGCTGTTAATTGTCCAGTATTCCTATTGATTAAATATGACGCTTGTTTAAAGGGACATGGTCTACCAGCATTCAATGCGGTCGTGTTTTATATTTTTCTTATATGGAAAATGAGGTGACTTCGGATATCTATTCACAATCTGTTTCCATCCATCGGTTTTAAGGTCGAATCTTGCAATATCTCCATTCATATAGCATAAAGGGATAATAAAGAGTAGGTTTTTGCTTATATTACGATGTATTTTTATTTTCAAACATGAGAAAAAGCTCGAAAGGGATGCTGGTGGACCATGCACCTTTAATATGATTGGTTTTCGGGTCGATACCATCTTATACAAGACAGTAATTGGGCAAATGATGATTTTATTTTAAATACTATTCGTGTAGTGATTGTACCTTTATCAGGGTGAAGATGTCATCCAAATAGTTCCTAATGTGTTGTTTCACAATRGAAATAAGATTGCCAAGCTGCTGAAATACAAACTGCAAACAAAACCAAAAAAGGTTTTTTAAAACAAGGGTTTGTGCACCAATTTTGGACCAAACTTTTATTGTTTGAAATTTTACTGACCTCTCTAAAGTTGGAGTCGCATGTTCTTATAACATTCAAGTAAGACGGCATAATCTGGAATAAACATGAGAAAAACAAAATCAATTAAAACGCTACATTTTCATTCAGATTTTTGATGAATTCTTTTTACAAATGCCATTTTAGCGCAAGAGCAAGAGCAAGAGCAAGAACAAGAGCAAGAGCAAGAACAAGAACAAAAGCAAGAACAAGAACAAGAGCAAGAGCAAGAACAAGAGCAAGAGCAAGAGCAAGAGCAAGAGC